CGGAGGAGGGGCAGCAGCGGAGCAGCACCTGGAGGGGGTCACTGTGACGCACAGGAGGGTCCAGGGCCTCACCGCAGTGGGGAGTGGAATCCCGAGGGGTGGCTTTTTCTCAGGTGAGAGAAGTAATACCGTGATTGCATCGCGGTGGAGTAGACAAGGAAAGGGAGGTGCCTGGAAGCAGCAGAGGTGAGGGCTGCTGGGATACTGTTTCAAAGCAGATGAGAGAAGATGGGGTCAGACGGACCCACGGCAGGAGCACAAGCACAGGGAAGAGGGCAGAAGACATGGACAAGCACAGGAAGGTAGTTGTTGCAGTCCTGGAAACTTAGTTGATTGATTAATCTGATTCTAATTAGAGTTGCATTGTATCACAATCCTGCTCTTGTGTAGCAGGGTTCAACTTCTCTTCATTTGGAGGCTCTGCTTGTTTTACATTAGTGACCCATTTAAAATGACACCGTTTCTTTCCTAATAAAATGGAATCAAAAGCTCACAAGAAAACCTGTACTCTTTCGATTTCAAACATTCACAGTTTCTAAACAATAAAATGGCTTTTCACTTAGTTCCTTACGCAGAATGTCTCACCAGCCTTCCAAGGAGGTGAAAATTATCGTGGAAGAGAAAATACATGGTTACACCTGGGGCTATGAGAATGGGTCCTTTGTGTGTTCAGTCTCTTTTAAGCAAATCCTTTTAGCTACAATTGTACTATTTTAAATTTGGCAAAGTTTCTCTTCAAAAATTTTAGTTCATAGCTTTTTTTTTTGTTTTACGTGGCATAGTTTCTTTAAGTCATATCTAGCTCACTACATATTTGATGTATAGGTCTCTCATTCTATTTTTTTTTTTTTTGCGTTTAAATGCATTTGGCAAGTTTTTGATGTCAAGAATTAAGAGCGTTTTATTGGAAGCTTTAACTATCCTTTTCCTCCTGCGTTAGTAAGAAATGTTCAGGAAACTGAAGTTTGCTAAAAAAAATGAACCTCAGTTCTAAAGTGCTTGATATTGAATTAAGAGCGAGATTCCACAGATTTGAGGAAAAACACTGTATATGTTCAACAGCGAAGTGAGGCTTATAAATTACCATATTCCATAATTCATTCCTTTACCAGACAAAGTATATTCTTAGACCATGGGGTGTTTTTTTTTTATCACAGCTTTGTCTATTGGTATTTTACATATTATTACTAAGTGCTTGGGGCAGAGCTGTAACAATTTCTTTCTACACTTACTCTGCCATCTTGGCAATAAAATACTTATTCTGAAGGTTCAAGTAAGAATGTGAATTTATTTTAGATGTTGCAGGTGCGCGTGCTGTCCTGCAGTAAGATCAAGAGGGAAGGAACTAGATGGGAGCTAATACAACACATTTACTGTCTCAGAAAGACACTTCTTTACATTGCTAAATGTGTTTTCATCATTAACTATTGAAGTCCCCCAATTTTTTCCTGGTTGTTCACATTACTACCCTATTCCCTTGTGATTAAAACAGCTTTTAGTGAGACCAAGGTCACTTGGTGATTTGATTCTGCAGTATTCATTCAAGAAAAAGTCCCTTTATTTTTCTGCAAATATCCAGAAGTAGGGTAGGGGCAGTTTAGTTTTTATGAATAAGCCATGTTTTATTACTTTTTTCTCCAAAGTTTAAAATTTTTTCCTAGCATTAGGATTGTTGAGGAAATAACTAATGACACGTAAACCAATCTAATAAACTACATCAGGCTCATATGAACCACACCATAGAGCATGAAAAACCTTTTATTCATTAGCAGTTTATTAGTAAAAGACCTCCAAAGCATTCTGAAATTTAAGCTGCACAGCCTTTCCCACCTCACAACTACATTTTATGTTTTTCTTTAGCAAGATTTACTTTCTCTGTCTGAACTTCAGAATTTTTAGATTGTAGCAATGGTATTACACACTTTATTTCTTTAGCCGTGACTGCATGCTAAGGCCCTAGAGATCATAGGCATTTCACTTTTTTCCTATTAAGATTATGATAGAGAAGGTGGTTACTGGGACCTCTAGTCATAGCTCAGCCCTCCATTACACAGGAAGATGGGTCCCTTCCATTCCCCATCCTGCTGGTGTTAGCTCCTTGAGGCTTTAAAGGTTTCCCAGTTAGTCTGGATTCTTCCTGCCCCCAATTTTTTTTAAATTTAATGGAAACTTGTTAGATTATTACAGATATTATGAAACAACCTTCACTGCAAGAAACCCTCTGTTTCTTTGGATAAAATCAACGTAACATCTTATGTCCGTGGTTGTGGAGAAGCTACAAGTTGAACTAGGTCCCCTAACTACAGGAACCTCAACAAAATATATAGAGATGTAAACATAATCAATAAAGCATCGGACTGCTAGTCTACCAATAGTACGTCTAAGTTGCTTGTCGTTTGCCCCAACAATATCTGATGTGATCTAAAAATAATTTATGGTTATGCATTTTAAAATATTTTTCACAATCTTTTGCTATTCTAATAACAATAGAATTGTATGTTATTTATAAATTCTGAGTTTTTAAATGCATATGAATATTCTAAGAATTTTAGCCATTATTAAAATATATTTAATTATAGTATAATTCAAAATGCATATCAATATTTAGTGGAAAAATTGAGTTTATTTCATAGAAATAGGATCTTTCTTGTGAGACATTTTGAAAACTTATTTGACTTCTAATTAGCCATCACACAGGAATTATCTTATTATTTTTAATTATTTAAATAATTTTTTGAATTGTAATTATTTCTATTAGTAGAAATTGGCAATATTTCTTACAGTTAGAGACCAATTAAATCAGCTTTCCTAAAAGTACAAATAAGAAAAATATTTTTTCTAGAACGTTTTACCCTTCTTAGCTTCATATTAAAGGTGCACAACCACTAAAAACAAATAAAATAAGCTTTCTTACCACTTCTCTGCATAATTATTAGT